TTTTTCAAAACTGGAATTAAGAAGCTTTCTTCCTTCTTTGACCTATAATTTTCCAGGGTCAATCCAATCTAAGTAGCAGATGAATTATTGCTGATAGTATATATACTTCTTTATAGATGCGTTCGAATCTATTAAAAATAAATATAATCAAATTGCAAACAATATTTTAATAGTATCTGTCTTGCAGTATTGAATTAATAAGTGGCTTACAAAATTTGAAATTATTGAAAACTTTTTAAATATTATTATAATAGTTATCGTGGGAGTGAGATTCCCAAATGCCTTTTTTTTGCTCTCTAAAATCAAAACCGAAGATTGTTGTATACCCTATAAAAATATATTTCTTAATTAACACTAACCATACATTACTTGACCTGTTAGCAATTACTGTGATTTGGAATTATCACAAGATTCGTCAAATTTGTGGTCATTCTCTTTAAAGACTATCTATTAATTTCACGAAGTTATAAAAAGAGTTATTCCTTGTTGTAACCGTTTTAATCAGATAAATTCTTATTTTTTCCTAAAAAATGGTTGCACAATTTTGGAAGCCCATGTTTATTTAACAATTGAGATTGGAGTTGGGACATTAATTTTCTTTATTGATGTAAAAATTGGGACCAGGTCAAGGTTAATTCATGGTCATCATCAGAAGAAATAAGAATTGACATGATATTCTTTTAAATTATAATATTGGAGAATAAGAATATAAATTAACATACCTTGATTGATTTAATATTAATTAGATTAACACTAAAAATTTGATAACGAAAATTAAAAGTAAAATGAAAGAATTTGGTGGTTGATCTGAATTAAAATCTCGGTTTAAATTATTAATACAATCAATTCCCATATTTTTAATTAATAAGAATTTTTAAGTAACGAGTAACATTCTGCGTTACAGCTATTCAAAAAAAAGACGCGTTATCCGTGACCTCTAGAAGAAAGTAACGAATGGCATTCCTTTTCTTCAAAAAAAGGTACTGCCATTAATAACAACGTTAGCTCTTTTGAAGTTACCTTTTAACACTAGCTTTATCTAATTGAACAATCATAATATGTTCCAAAATATCCTCTTTAAGATTTCCGCGATTGCTCGTATTTTAATTTAAATTGAATATCTAAAAAAAATTTTTATATTTTTATCACATTATTTACTTTTCAAAATGGATATAAAAATTAAGCAACGTTTTATTATAGAATATTAATTATCAATTAAAATAAAAGTTTACCTAATGGAGGCAGAAAATAGGAAATTTTGAAAAATGCGAAGAAAACGAAAAATGATTCAGTGAAAATCTCTTTTATTTATTTTTCATGAATTTATTTATAAAATTTTTGGATAACTGAACCCTCAACTTTAAAAAAGATTCGGGTTTGGGTTCCACAAAAACACGAGGGTTCGGGTTCACATCTAAGGGGAAAGATTGTGGAGCAACTAATTTATAAAAAATTATATACTTTTCCTTTAAAATTGAAAAAAAGTTTTAATTTAAAAAATACCATTATTTGATTTTATATTGGTTGCCAAGAAAATATTGGTATTGGTCCAGTCCTAATTAACTTTTAAGGCAATAAATAAATGTGTGTAAAATAAAATTATTATTTTATTATAAATACTAATAATACAATATTGTAAGATAAATAATAACTTATTATATAATAAAAATAATACACAATTTGATGGGTATTACATTTGGATCGTCAATTAAATACAAATTTTTATTGCATAGGAATTAATAGACTATTTTTTGAATAATTTATATACATTTGAAAATAGTAAAAATTATATTTATTCGCAAATGATTGATTAAACAGAATATTTGTCTCTAAAATAACCTGATCCGTTATTACAATATTCACTATAAATGAGTTTAAAGAGGAATAAATGAAATAAAACGATGAGTAATGCAACACTTATCCAAAAGAAAGTTGGTAGACCCCCAAAGTTGTGCCCGTGTTTGTGTATAGCTATCACGTGATTCTCATGAGCAGGAGCTTTATTATCAAATATATAATAATTGATTATGTATTAGATTGTTAATAATTTATGTGTAGTTAATGTAGCATTTTTCATAGTAAACTATGATCTGAAACTTGGAACATAGGCATATTATAAATAAAATATTGGTTTATGATTGAATGATAAAAATAAGAATATTAAAGTATATAATTAAAAATTAACAAAATAGCCATTAATTTGTTAATTGATTACTAATAGATTTAACCGACTCTTGTCAGATTAATAGTAAAAAGCTATGACATATTATATAAAATTATTCACATGTGGTCAAAATTTTTTAACGGAATCAAAATAAAATAAAGTCGAGATTTTTTTAACAGCCTTGTTTGCTAAACAACGACCAATTTTTTTTGAAATGCAATAAAATCTTTTTATATATATTAAGAGATGGAATCTCGTAATCCTATACACCAAGTTGACTTCAGATAAAAAATATGGTTCTTTCTGGATTCGAACACAGAACTATACCTAAAACGAATTATTTGTTATTCGATATTCGATTCGTATTTTACGAATACGAATAACACAATTATTCGATTCGAAAATTCGAATCGAATTCGAATAAGGAAAATATATTATTCGTCGAATAATTTTTTATCTATTATTCGATCGAATTATTCGACTAAAATAATTTATAGTATTAATATATATTGGAAAATAATCATATATTATTATTAGTAATTATTTGAAATTATTTCAATTTAATAAAATCTCCTAGTGGAATAATGAAAATTGCGCCAAATTTTGAAACTTCATTTTAATTTATCTCATAATAGACCATTACTTTAGAAATTTCTTTTAAAATAGAGATGGACGAAGAAGGTAATTTATATAACACATAACATATACAATTATAATAAACTGTTAATCCCATCACATCAAGAATGACGGGCAAACCTGATATTTCTCTTTCATTTGATGATGGAGAAATCATAAATTTGACTTTTTGCCTAAAGTTTTTACCACTTTATTTGTAAAATATTGCTAATGCCGTGTTATCTAAAATGGCGAGGGACATATTGTCGATACAGGGATCTTCAACCCCACGTGAGCGACTCTTTTCTGTTGGAGCTCATATGGTTACAAAATACAGAATGTCGTTAAAGGAGGAAACAATCCGAAAAACTTTATGTTTAAAAAATTGGCTGTTGTCAGATTTATCTTCTACATTATAGATATGAATATTATATTGATTTTTTCACATTGTATATTAATATATTATATATGTATGCTTCTATTTTGTCTCACTAATAAAATTTGTTTGTCTTTATCCTTAGTTAAATTTTACAAAATAAATTTTATAATAGATCTTTTTTAATTCATGGTAAATAAAATTTTCGAATCGAATCGAATAATCATTTTATTATTCATACGAATACGAATAATAAATTATTCGATTTAAACAAATACGAATAATTCGATTCGATTCGTATTTTTGTAGGTATACACAGAACTATCGGATTGGCCAGAAACGATCTTATCGACTAGGCCACAGACGCTTTTCGAAAATTAAGATTTTTATATATTATAAACAAATGTGGCAGTTTCGATCAAAATAAAATATTAATTTGCTCAACACTGCTTTGGTAGAGTATAACATTAGCCCAATAATAGCTGCCCGGCAGAGAAAATTCAGTTGAATCTAAAAATAACGGTGGAAAAGATTGGACCTAATTCGGGAAAGGTGCTAGGAACTAAATTTGAGAATAAAAAAAAGTCTATCCTATCCTATTTCATTTTATAACAATAAAAATTATATCGCGCTATTTTTTTGTATTTCTTAGAAAATACATTATATTTTTATTAAAAATATATCGACTTATAAAGTAACCAGAGCTGATTAAATGATAGGTCAAATAAATTCAGTCAAAGTCAGTAATATTTTTATATAACTAAATTAACTTTATTTATGCATAGTAAATAGAATATGTTTATAAATGAATGCATATAATTAAATATGATATATTGATACATTCTAGAAATAATGTTTCGTTTGCTTTGTATTCCGGTTTCAAATTAGTTATTTCATATTTTTTAGCGCCATGGGCCAGGCCTATATTTTATTCATGATGTATGATGCACCTAGCTTCACGTCATAGCCTCGAATCTACTCGATAGGACTTTCGTAAATGTTGCTAAGATATATTTCCGGTTGCATTATTGATAATGTATTTCAAAATATATTAAAGCGAATACAATACCGTGAATTTATTACAGTACCATGACCATGAATGCGTTATATAAATTTCCATATTTGATATTAGAAGAATTTCTATTAATGAAATTAAACTAGACAGACTAAAATGCAGTTAGGATTCGATAAATATTTGCTAAAAAAAATTTTTTTTTATATGAAAGTATTTGTATTAGACGGGAGTTCTCCATCTGTAAAAAAAAATAATGTTTTCGCTATTATTTGCAGAAATGAATTTGTGGTAGGTAATACATTTGTAGAAATATTATTTTAGAAGTGTAGTAATCGATATTCGAGATAATGTATTTCACGGATATGACATCTAAACCGTACTGAATAATAATTTAAAAATGATAGCTCCATTGCTATTATTTTATAAAGCTATTTATGTCTCACCTTTGAGGAAATATCCATTGGTAATTAAATCATATCAAGATATTATTATAAGTTTTTGATTTTGAATAATAACTATACGATTCCTTTTTTTTAATCGAACATTATTTTAGATTTATACATTTTTAAATTTTTATCCTAGTACGACTTAATTTTTTTAAAGATTTAACTAATTTTCAGATAACTTTATTCTTCTTTTAGTATTTTTAAATTTTAAAATTTGGTTTTTTATCCTATTAAAAGATTACATAAAAGCTTTAAATTAAAATATATCATTATTCGATGCATTCTACCCAGCCCATCATTTTTAATATTCCCTTTTACTTGTATGTTTATTTTTGATTCCAACTCTTCGCCAATTAATATAAATTTCTAATAAATATTAAAAACCTAGGATAACTTCTTTGACGTGAATGGTGTGTTTAAGATATTCCAGGTGATATTTATCTTCGGAAATATATAGAAGTGATGTCAATGGATTGGTTAACTTCACCGGAAATTGTATAGGAGTTTGACTTTTTATTTTTTTTGTATTGTATATGCATTATATATTTGAAATTTAAGAAATATTATTTACACAATTAGAAACCAGATCAAATTTTTCGTGAATATATTAATGCGAATGCATTCCCCTGAATATGAATGTATTCGCGCAAACCATTACAGCGAATATGTATTAGAGCGAAAACATTATCGTGAATGCATTTCCGTAAATGTATTACAGCGATAACATATCTAATGCACTTCCATAAACGCATTATGGGGAATGCAATGTGGCGAAGATTAACATTTTTATATTTATTGGCATTTAGACTGAAGTAAAGTCCATAAATAAGAATAAGGTATGGTTCGGATCAAAAAATATTTTGGGCCCAGGCTTTTATTTTTGAATAAAAATTTTAAACAATATTATGTTTTCTCTGTGATTAATGAGAAGGCAATTAAAAAAATTTTTTAACTGTATAAAAATGGATATATTTATATTTTAAATTAAACTTTTGGGCAGACCAGGCTCAGGCCTAAAATTAAAAATTGGCCGGGATTGGGCCTAAAAATATATAAATATTTTGAATAGGGCTCGTGCCAAAATATATTAAATTTGTATCACGTCTTATATCATAAACCATTGCGCCAGACAGATAATTGGAACTCGCAAATAATTTTGTGCTTGAGATTAGCAGTGGATTTAAAATTTAATTTTGTCATTTAGGTGTTTTTGAGAGTGTAGTGGAAGATTATATTAATAGAATAGGGCTAGCATTTTCATAAAAATATATATTTATAATGTAAACTAGGCCTGGGGTATTTAAGGAACCAGTTTTGGATATTACAGGTATCGAAGGAGTTTTAATAATCCAAGACTTCACTTTAAAATGCTATGTTTTATCCTTTAAGACACTTTTATGATAATTGCTTTTAATCTTAGTTCTATAAAGAGAACATGTATCAATGGGTGATTTTATGTTACCTGATTAAAATGTATAGCACACAAAACAAAATTTTCTCGCCTCAATACAAAAGTTCAATATTAAATGAGTTTTATTTGTTTTTATTATTTTGATAGTGCTATATAAGTTTTTTTTTCTCTTAATAAAAGAAAAGGCCAAAGCTCATCTCAAATTGACATGGCAGAGTTTATAGCATTAAATAATGTATTGCAAAATTGATTGGATTGTCTTTTTACGAACCTTTATCCCCCCCCCCCCAGTCAATGCCTTAACATCAGATTAGACAAAAAAGAAAGGAAATCGTAATCCAAATAAGCAAAAAAAGGAAATCAAATCGAACCACCCTTTAATTTCAATGACGATCTTGCATCAACCCCCCCCCCTTACTATGGTAGAAGTCCCAGCCATCTCAGAGCTTAATAATATGTTGATGAAGTTGAAAATTTATTATCATTTCAAAATAGGAATTAAGAAAAAGAATAATAAATTACTTTATTAAAAATTGAAAGAGTGACTAAAGAGAGGCTTTTTGAGAAATCTAAAAAATATTAATACCCGAAGTTTTTTCAATACGCAACAACACTGCTGGTAGTCCCTGCAACCCAAGTCTCAGTTAAAAGATATATTCTCGGGATTCATTTATTTTATCTTCATAGCGCATAAAGATAAATTTTGACATTTTGGAAAATATATTACTAACACGTTCTAATCATATTTTTTTAATCTTTGTAATTTTTAGCAAATGAACAGTAACCAAATTTCTGAAATTATTTGCCTCTGAACCATAAGTGGATCGCAATATATAAACATAACAGTTTAAATATCTGGTCTTTTTATTTTCAAAACTAAATTGTTTGATTTTCTGATGAATAAAGTACACATAATACTTTTATACTGCAAAACCCATATATTTAACTTTATCTGGTTTTAGGTTTTTTTCCCTGTCGAGTTCATTTGCTAAGCTGGGATTAAAGGCAAATTATATAGAAATATGTCCACGCCACCTTAGTATGTTTACAATGATCTTTGTTCTTATGGGTATATTACTTCTAAACTTCCTTGTATATTTGCATTTCGTATCTTATATTTTTTGGATGCTATCATTCTCGGCATGTTCCTGGCCTATGTAAGATAGTTTGCTGTACTATGGAACTGTATATCTTTCACTTTAATTTGCGTGGGATTTAGATGCCAATCCCATAAATTTTTCCTATTAGACTTGTTTATGTCTTAAAAATCTTTTTTTCAATACTACTACTCTACCTATTTCATTAGAAAATTTAAAACCTTTTTTTAAAAATAGGGATATGACGGATCTGTATAAAGACCAAATAACCTTAAAAAATCTATTTTCTTTCGGGAATGCTAGTGCAATTATTCACTTTGAAAGTCAGTTTTATTTTTTTCAACGAATATTTCAAGATGGGCACTCTTTGTTTGCCCTTATCCCCTTAGATATGCCACTAATGTGGTTTATAATGTGGAATATAGATTAAAATATTTATATAAATATAATTAAATTTAAAAAATATTACAGTAAAATATATGTTAAAATTTAATAATTATTCTTTCAAAATCGTTATAAGGTAACATATAAATCAAAATATCTCAAAAATAAAAATATATTAATTGATGAATTTCATATTACAAAATAGAAAAAATATATAAAAAAACCTTAAAAGAATAATTAAAGAGAGAGAGCTATTATACAGTTCCATAGTACAGCCAACTACCCTATTCCTATATAGGTCAGAAACATAGCCAATCAAAGAATTAAACGAGAAAGGTTTACATTTAATGGAGCCGAGGATCTAAAAAGTATATGATGCGAAATCAAATATACTAGGAAGTTTAAAAGTAGTACCCATAAAAAAAAAGATCATTTTATACAGACTAACGTGGTATGCAACGATGAGCCCAAAAACTATATGGAAAATAAGGTTAAGAGTTCAGAAATGAAAGAGAGGCAAACCAAAACTCCAACGGGCTCCTAAAGTTAAAACCATCCCTAAATATAAATTGAATAAGATGGATTGTATGAACAATGTAAAAAAATATTGAAGGAGCTTACCACCCGAAAAGGTGGAAGTTAAAATAGAAAAAAACATCAATTATAACAAGCGTTTGACAAATGTAAATAAATGTTAGCGATAATATTTTCGCGGTAATACGATTCGCGGAAATATATTAGTGGCAATGCATTAGTGATGATGTTTCCGAGGTAATACATTCGCAATAATACTCATGAAAATGCATTTGCGAATTGTGATAATAGTTTCAAAATACTAGATTCGCGATTATGCAACGGTTCAATTCCTCATTTGGGATACTTTTTTTAGGATTTCTTATTTAAACGAAATAAATAAAAATGATTGATAATTAAGAGAAAAAACAAAAATGGAATTGATAAATTTAAAAAATAATAATAAAATTATCATTGTTAATATTTTATAAAGATATATAATTTATTTTGAATTGTAGTTCTAATTTAAGTGTTATTAAAATCAAAACTGAACCTATCTATAACTTTACTATGATTTAAAAAATTGAAACTAAATCGTTACAATGTAAATAACAATAACCTTATTAGATGAGATAAACAAACAATAACTTAAACTATTAAAAAATTGAAACCAAACCGCCAGAGTAAAGTTAACCTTATTAGGTGAGATAAAAACGTACTTCGGCCAAACCTATGTGAAACACTAATACTTTTTTTAAAATTAATAAGCGTTACTCAAAATTGTTATTGCACTACCCTACCCCTAATACTCACAATTATATTATGCAAAACAAAGTGGGTATATATATGGCAATTGTATTTGAGGTAGTACCATGCAATATGCATGTTATTTAATAAATAAATGGTTGTTTGCCCAAATGAATACGATGTTTATAAATCAATTGAGACGATTTGATTTAAAGCGGGAAAGATAAAGATAAATCTTGGTTGGTAAAAAGAAGTGCTATTTTGTAAAAATGGGCTCTTATGTTTTTTTCTTCGTAATTAATTTTAATTTTTTTATTCCTATTTCTTTTAAATATTGCTAGATGCATATTAGAAAAAATTTCAAGAAAATATTTATACCAGTCTCATCTATCACGTGGAGGGTTATGACGCAGTTATTATATCTAGGGAGGGGAGGGTGGGGGGGGGGTGATATTTTTTTTTAGTATCTCATTTAAGATACTCCTAGTTACATTATGTTATCTAGAAATTATATTTTCGAGTATAATAATAATCCTTAAATATGATCATAGGCACTTATCTCTACAGCAAAGCCAACGGGCATATTCGTTCATCTAGAATAAAATGCAAATCAAGATTCTAATTCGTGGCTTAAATCCCGTTTTAATAATGATATCCAAGCACCATTTCATTCATTTGAACTTTAATAAGTTAATATGATGAAATTATTATTAGAAAAATAACTGTAACTCGTTACTTTTAAAATAATTTAACCAATAATTGTAACTTTTTTTGAATAAAACGACAGCAACTATTTACTTTTCAAGTTATTTAATAAAATATGTTTTAATTGCCTAAATTTATAATTACCATTTAATAAATATTTTGTCTCATACATCAAGTGCTCCTATAGAACATTTATTAAGTTTAGAGAAGCTTATTTTTATGTAATGTTAAAGATGCAAATAACATATTATATTTTTTTTTGTAAAGGATTATATAATTTTTTGTTAACTTAAATTTCATAAATAAATGTTAAGCTTCTTTTATCATTTTCTACTTTAAAATAATATGTTTGACCGTGTATTTGTACTTTTGTATATTTTATAATTCATATTAGTTATTATAAAAAATGTAAATAAACTCAACGAAAATTTAGTAAAAGTAGTAATAATTAAACTTTAAAAATAGATAAAACGTGTTAAATTAAATTTTATTGGTACTACTTTTCCATCCAAATTTCATGGTGGCATGATTTTAAATTAAACTTTTAATAAAATTTAAAATAAATTACTTGAAGATTTAGATTAATAGATTCCTTTGCCTTCCATAAACATTATGGTAGCAGCGGTGGGATGATATTTCGATATTTAATAGT